TGCATGTGTTTGTGTGTCATAATAATAATAATAATAATTAGGCCTTCATAATAATTATATATATAGCATTTATACTGCGCATTTCCATTTTCTAAACGAAGTGACTATTCGGACTCGAGTCCGAATATGAAAAAATGTTATTCGGACTCTGATTCTTGTCCAGCATGACATCACCATGGGTGCCAGATCTCCGGGCTGGCTGACAAAATTACGCAGCATCACTTTCCGGGTTGCATCGGGTCTTTAAAAAAAAACGACACACCCCGAAAAAGTTAGTCGGGCCGGTCATCAAGACCTGTCAGTGGAACGTTCAAACGATCATTCTCTTCACGTGACATGACCTCGTATGTGTGAGTAGCGCGTGTGTCGGGGACTGTCGGCTGTCGTGGTCAACAAAGTTCATTCGCATCGGTCGAGGTGTTTTTCGGGACTTTACTACTTAACCAGTGTGGGGGGGAGGGGGTAGGGGTATTGTTTTCAAGACTTTTCAAAAGCTTCCACTCTTCTGTATTTTTACGGAAATCGTACTTTCTGCCAGTTCCGTACTTGTTCCTCCATCATCAACTCCCTCCGTAAAAATCTGAGACAGCGTAGGACTACCGAAATTCTGTAGCAAAAGATCCATACTCGCCTTTGTATCATCTTGTATTTAAGTTACGGATATTTACGGTAATTCTCTCGGCAATAGTTTATGTATAAAAAGAAACCTGCCAGATTGCGCATTTCCTGCAATCTGCCATTATTCTGCTCTGCCCCATGCATTCATTGTGGGCTTGTCGGCAGTACATTTTTTACGTGCAGATTGATCAAAATCTGGCGAACTTTTTGTGCCACTTTCCTCCTTTCTATCATTCCGTAATTCCGTCCGTCTTTCTTCGGATTGTTACCTCGCCTGGAAAATATGCGCGTTGATCAAGTATTTTGACATGTGATTTTGAACTGAAAATTACTGTCAGAAAGAATTTTTTTTGCAAATTTATTGTCTAGATCTAGAGAAATTATCAGTGCGAAGATTCCGACGAACGACAGTCGTTCTAACCCTTACACAACTACATGTAACTGCGCTGACAAGACTAACATACGGCCGACATCGTTGCTTTAGTCTGAACGCATTATGAGGGATAAGAGATTTTTTGGTACATTTGGTCGGTCGGCCGCCGTCATTATCCAAGAAGTAGAACGACTGTTGCTCATCCGAGTGTTTTGTGTGAACGCGCAGTTAGCCGGACCTGTTAGTAAAATTGTTTCAATCGCGCATATGCATCACGTGACACGCCGTGTGAGTTCTGAGTGTAGGGGACCGTCCGTTGACGGGGTCAACCGAAGTTCATGTATTTCGGGACTTATTGGTTTGTTGTTTTTTGGGGGGGTGTATAGACACTTGGACTAGGAGTGCTTAACGTGATGCTTCAAGATTTACAAAAAATAATGATAACACGCACGTACGCACGCACGCACGCACACACACACACACACAGAGCATATAGGCCGAGTAATTTATGGACACCCCTGGAAAATTTTTAAGTCAGCTTTGGCAGTCACCTTGGTGATTTGTTGTTGATCCCGATTTTTTTCTCCCTGAGGTCCTGATTTTGAGGCTTCATAGAGTGGCAGGTCTGGTAACTGCATTGTGAAGGTACGGCCTACATATATATATATCTGTTCATTATTCCCAGGTTTGCCTTCTGTCAGTATCAAAGGTGCGATGACAAATTAATTGAATTATAGTAGCAAATAGAAGGGGAACCTGCTTTTAAACATTGCCAGCAATGGAAAGATATGATGGTGAAGAAATCAAACAAGACAAAATCTGGTTGAAAAAATAGGTAGTATGGGTTGTTGGCAATCTCTTCAAACAGGCTCCCAAATGCCATTTTCAACCCTCTAAAAGTACTAAATTTCAATTTCTTCAGGGGCTTCGCCCCCTGGTCCCCCACCGGGAGGCTGTCCCTGGACCCTTGAGTGTATATGCGATGGAAGTCAAATGTTGTTACTGTATGAAAACGCGGGCTTTTTGCATGGATGATTCGAGTTATGTGTCAGCTATTTTCAAGACTACGAGAGTTTCAGCTTTACCTGCAACCTGCGCTCCCCCAGTCTATCCAACTCCGACTCGAGTAATGCTGTCTTTCAGTTTTCCCTCTATTAAGACTAGGCCCAAATGTGAACTTATTCCTGCAAAAGTTTTATCTTGCATACTTGCCTCATAAAAGGCAACCAGGAGACCCCCCCCCCTTCCCCAGTACCCCTTATGACTGATTTGCCGTTGATCCCGATTTTTTTTCACCAGATCCTGATTCTTTTACTCGAAAATCCTGATTTTTAGATTTCATAGAGTGGCAGGTCTGCTACCGTCAATCTCGATAATATAAATTCAAATAGATTTCTAAATCTGTGCAAGCCCTGTTTGATTTTTGAAGATGAACTTTCTAGATAGACCTGCTTCTACGGAGGAATTGGAGAAAAGTGTAAAAAATAGTGGCGTTGGCAATGGTGTATGATGAAATTTTCGACGATGTCAAAGTTTCTGTGTGGTGTAGGAAAGTCGAACAACCCGGTGCATGCTTTTGCCTTAGTCAGGAAATCTCCAAGACCCTTAAAAAAAGCTAAGACCACCAACATAGCTACCTTCTTTAAGAAAGTGTGAGCTTGGACTCTGCCTCCTTGTGGATAAGGAGTAAGAATGGTATCCACTGCTGGACCCTAGCATGCATCGTAAAAGGCGACTAAATGGTTCAACGAGCAACATACAGACGGCAAGGAAGGAAGAGTTTTCATTTTTTTTTAATTTCACGGTTGGGAAAATTTTGGACCTGGGTTTTCAGGGCTGGAAAAATTTTTCACTGGCACCCATGGACATCACTTCCGACTTCCGACTTCCTGTGACTCGTGAATCCGGCTTCCTGTCCTGCCTCACTCGTGACTCGCCTCAGGCTGGGTAGAGACCGGGATCACTTCGGGCAAAAAGGCGTTTTATGCAGGAGCCGAGTTCTAATCTTATGATGAATTTGAGGCCGGCCTGAAAAGTTATAACGCTTCTAATAAATGTTTATTTGTCAAGAGGTCATCAGAAGCAATTAAAGATGGCTCGTTAGCGTGTGTCGGGGTCGGATGGGCGACCTGCACACGTGTGGCTGTGTGCGTGTCGGGGAGGGGGGTGGGGGGGGCACTATCGGTCCGGGCGTTGAACGTCGTATACGCGTCAGTCTTTTTCCACCAGGCAACTGATCATTATTACAATAATAAGCTAGTCTTGACGTAGATCTACGTAATGAATTGTGCTCTGGTCTATGGAATCAAAAGTTGCCGTATGCTCAGCTCTACACAGCAACACAACTTTTTCTTGGTAAACAATCGATATGACACAGGTTTGTGTATTTGAACGAATCGGTCTTTTTTTTTTTACACAGCTCATAATATACAGGTGCCAGGTGGTCTGCAAATCTTCAATTTTACCTTTTTCTACTACAAAGAAAGTGGGAAACATGGGGGGTGGGGGGGGGGGGGGCGTATCAATGAGGCGGCGGGCATCGGATCGGCAGAAAAGGTGTGGGGGAAACTTTAAAAAATGGCGGAAAATTGGAAGCACTGAACGTTAGATCTATAGAACGAAGACACTTCGAAGGATATGAAAAAATGTTATTCGGACTCGACGACGGCCTTTTCTAAAAGATGCTCAATGCGCATTACAACCAAAAAGACATCACGTCTTAAAAATTAATCGACAAGTGCGTACATAAAACAACGTATTATACATATAATATAAATGCCTATGTGTAAAATTTTATATGAGAAAAATAGTCTTGCAGTGAGGTTGAAAATGTGTTCACTAAAAAAAAATAATTAAAAAAAAAAAAATGCAATAAAAATTCACGAACGGTCACAATAAAGTTGAAACGTGAGTAACTAGAAACATTCATTAAAACATTAATTCTATACAGATAGAAAAACATTTCCATTCTCTCTCTCTCTCTCTCTCTCTCTCTCTCTCTCTCTCTCTCTCTCTCTCTCTCTCTCTCTCTCTCTCTCTCTCTCTCTCTCTTTCACTCTCTCTTTCTCTCTCCCTCTATCTCTCTGTCTTTTCTCTCTCTCATTCTCACACGCTATTTCTTCAGTCTCACAGTCTGGCGTACACATGCATAAATATATATCACAGTACATCATTATGACAGGTATGCTTTTGTGAATAAAAGATGCTTCAGCTGATTTTTGAAAATGGAAATTGTTGGGGCAGATCTTATTTTATATGGGAGTTCGTTCCATACCTGGGGACCAAAGAATAAAAAGGAACGCTCGCCGTATGTCTTGTAATTTTGTTTTGGAATTTTAAGAATTAGATTATCAGAGGCTGATCTAAGGGCTCTAGTTGGATGATATAATTCCAGGAATGTTTTCAGATAAAAAGGTGCACTATCATTTATACATTTAAAACAGAGAACGGCAGTTTTGTATTTAATCCTTTCTTTTATTGGCAGCCAGTGTAGTTCTTTCAGAATTGGTGTTACGTGCACTGATTTCTTTTGTTTCATTATCAATTTTGCTGCTTGGTTTTGGAGTACTTGTAACTTTGATAGTTTTTCGGATGTCAAACCGGACAAAATAGCATTAAACAGTAATCTAACTTTGATAAAATGAGTGTTGTTACAAGTGTCTTGGCTGCTGCTTTAGTTAAATAATTTCGTACACTGCCAATTTTCTTAAGCAGAAAGTAAATACTTTTGCTGAGCTGGCTAATTTGGGATTGAACCCCTAGATTTTTAAGACTTCTTTTTGAACGAATAGTATGGTTATTAATATCAATTTGTAGCTCTGGGAGATTTTTAATGGCTTTTGTATTTCCACTCAACATTATTTCCGTCTTGTCTTCATTTAGTTTCAATTTATTGCTGGTCATCCATATTTTTATATCTCTAGTACATTGTTCACTAGAGTCGACTAAAAGTGGTATTTGATCGAAATCAATAGACTTATAAATTTGAGTGTCATCAGCATAAAGATGATAATTCATGCCATATTGTCTTAAAATATCAGCAATAGGTTGTGTATACATTGTAAGCAAGACAAGTCCAAGAACAGACCCCTGAGGAACACCACATCTAAGCAAAACATTAGAACATGTGCTTCCAACCACAACTGCTTGTGTTCGATCCCTAAAATATGACTCAAACCATCGCAGGACAGTACCCTTTATGCCAAAAGTAGTATTTAATCTCTCGAGTAAAATATCATGATCAATGGTATCGAATGCAGCCGAAAGGTCCAAAAGAGTAAGAAAACGTACCTTTTTTCATCAATATATTTTAAAATATCAGTACAGACCCTAAGTAACGCTGTCTCGGTACTATGGTGTGCCTTATATGCTGACTGATAAACTTCGCCAAGATTATTTGCTTTAATATGATGTAACAGTCTATTAGATACAACTTTTTCCAGAATTTTGGATAGGAAAGAAAGATTAGAAACTGGTCTAAAATTTTTTAAGTCCTTTTCATCAAGTCCAGATTTTTTCAAAAGGGGTCTTACATTGCTGTCTTAAAGCAATTCGGTACTGTGCCTGTGAGGAGAGAATCATTTACAATTTGGGTGATATGTGGAAGAAGTTCATGCAAACATTTTTTTAAAAGGCTGGTGGGCATAGGGTCTAAGGCGCAACTTTTTGATGGACTATCTAATATGATCTTTTTGATTTCTTCTTCTGTTGCTGGAGTAAAATAATCGATGACTAGCCCCTTAAACTAATTGTAATTAGGGGCAATTGTGCACATTTTATCGAGCTCTTGCCTGATGGAGGTGATTTTTTTATTTTAAAAGTCTGAAAAGCTACTACAAAGATCTCTATTGGTGCCAGGGGGTAATATTGTTTTGTTTTGGTTGCCAAGCAGTTCACTAGAGACATCAAAAAGTTCCTTACAAGTTTTAACATTTTCAAATTTTGACAAAAAGAAAGTACGCTTGGCCTTGGTAATCATTTTACTAACAGAATTCTTCATAGTAATAAATATTTCCTTATGCACTTCAAGTCGTGTTTTTCTCCATTTTCTTTCCGCTTGTTTTTTTTCTTTTTTTGCAGCCTTTATTTCTAAATTAAACAACCTACCAACAGGTCGATGAGATAATTTTCGTTTTTTAACTGGAGCATGATCATCTAAAATATTCCTCATGATGGTATTGAGGGTTTCTATATTAAAAGGGGAACTACTAGCAAGAGCATCACGAATGTCACATTGAAACTGGTGTAAATTTATATCGTGTGTGTGTGTTTGTGTGTGTGCACACAACATGCTTTGTGTGTGTGTGTGTGATTGGTGTACAAATTTGAGGAGAACAGGTAAATTATGGAAAGAGAATTTCTGAGATTGTTTTTCATAAAACATATTATACGCAAATTAATACCAAAAAACAAACAAACACGGTGAGATCTGGTGAGCAGTCACTGGCGAGGGAAATCCAACATTCTTGGGGGCAACCGTGGAAGACGACAAAAATAGATGGTGGAAATATAATGTCTTCTATATTTGGGCCAATCACAGAGGTGTGATAGGGGCTCGCTGTAGCTTTCATGTAACTTAACTCTTTTTCTCAGAATAGCTTTTATGCTCTCGAGATTTGTTGTTTATATTTGTGAATAAAGTCGCCCCAACCACAATTGAAGACTGATCAGACATTTAAAAATCTCTAGCTCTAGAAATTGAATTGGATGCAAAAATGCTTCTTCCCAGTCCTCGTCCTCAGAGAATGGTAGAATGGAAGATGACGCAGAAATCTAGAAAAAACCAAAAAATCTCGGGAACGGAAACCGCTCAGAGAAATAGAAGTCAAGTTTATTTTCCCGAGCGTTCTGAGAAATAGTCACTTCGTTTACATGATGTGATGCAGTATTATTTTGTACTCTTATAAGAAAACACATTTATATTATTCTGTTTGTGGCATAATGTGTTGTTGATATGCTACCGTAGCAGCACAAGCAAACGATCTTTGTTTTATAAAGATTTATCTTAGAAATGATAAAATAAAGTGATTTTGCTGCCATTTTTGCCCATTTCAACATGTCACAGTCACATGTCACATGACAACAGCGTGGCAATTACTTCCAAACACACATTTTTGTCAGAAGTCTTCAAAACTTTAATGGTACTGAGGGTAAGTCTAAAGCCATCATATTTCAGGCATACATGTAAATTTACAGTTTCATCAGGCTTCAAAATTTTCGTCAATTGCATTCTTTAAAAGTATCTGACTTGCATCTGTTGTCATTGAGATCATACAGAATTGTACATTTTGACAATGTCTGGACAAACTTTTAGCAATAAAACTCAATTACTAGACAGCTGAAATCTGTTTTGGTCAGGCTATCTGACGTGGCATAACTATGATGGCATGTTACACCAAATATCACAAAATCGGATGGGAATTTTCTTTTTCATATTTTAAAGGATTGATACTGGTGTAAAAAGTAGTAGAGATACCAACTTTAAACAGATGGGGTTGTTCAAATTTTATCACTAGTAGAGATTTTTCCTGTCACTGTCATCATAGTTTATGCATGTCAGAATCCCAACGTGACCATCTAACAACTAAATTTCTTACAAGATATATATATTGCTGCTGTAATTGCACATGATTATGAAAATAACCCCAGTTACCTACATATTCATGGCATTGAAATGGAAATTAAGTAGTTCTTAATTTTTTACTTCTGTGACATGTTTAGGGGTGCCAGGTTCTGGCACAGGCTCTTATTTATGCTGTTGCATGATTGGTTTCTTTCCTTGCTGCATTAACAAAGGAAGTAACCCTTGTCTCGCTATTCTCACCCCATCGTTTTACCGGAAATGACCCTAGAGGGATCAGGGTTGGCTGAGGTTACCGGAATAACAGGGGGGGGTCAGGGCTGATACTCCACAGGATCATGTTTGTGTCCTAATAGTCACATTCAGGGTTGTTGTTTTGGAGTCAATTCATTAAAAAATTTGCTCTTTTGGATCGCATCTGGCCTGAAGAATTTCATTTGGCTCTCCGGCTCTTTTTTGGCTCCAAACTCCAAATGTTCAAAAAGATGGGGGGAAAAAGAGACAAGTAAAAAAAAGAAAAAGGAAGAATAAAGGGGAAAAAATGAAAGTGGTGAAAAGAGCTTTTCAGCCAAATGTATTATAAACACCTTTTAGAGGGGATAACTGGAAAGTGATATATATGTGCACACAACAGCTCAGTGAAGTTTTTGTTTTGGTTCTCTCAGTCGATTCGCTAGGGATGTCCATCAAAATGTCCCCAACACACCAAGCTTGTCAATTAAATGGAGCTACCCTACAATAGACTGAGTTTCCTCCACACAATTATGCATGACATTCGATCAGCTTGACTTATTTATCATTACATAAGTCGGACGAAGAAATACAAGTTTGGATTTTTACTTTCAAATTAAAATTTATGTTTCATAATGTTCTATTTTGGTAAACAACAGTGTTACTTTTAAAATTTAACAATATTAAAATGATTTCGTCTACAGACAGAAGAATCAGCCCCAGAAACAGCAAGTGGAATTTTGCAAGAAGATGTGCCAGTAGGTTCTGAACCACTGCCACAGACAACACAGGCTGGCTCAACAAGTGAAGGATGTGTCAATCAACCTACTGCTCCTACAGGGGAAGAAAATGCTTCCTGTTTGGACCATGGAACAGTATCGGTCTCTGAAAATCAAAATCCACCTGAGAGCCAGAGTGTAACGCAGATACCAGAAGAACCTCTGTGCAGCCAAACAGTAGAGCAGTCATCAAAAGAAGAAGCAGTTGTTGGTGATCAACCGACGTCCAGAGCTGCAGATGAGGCTTGGTGTAAAAAAGATGAAAATGTCATGGTATCGGGAAAGGAAACATTTTCTGAAGAGAGCATGGAAGTTGATTTATTGACTGACAATGATAATGAAAATGGGGTCAGTGGAGGAGAAACTGCAGATGGTATGGGTATCCGAGAAAGCATTGCTGAGAGTTCTGTTGATGCTGGAAATGATAAGTGTAGTGAAGATGTGGCAGGATATGACGAAAAGGCGTCAAACGTTTGTGAATCGTCATCTGCTTCAAATGAAGCTACTGAATTCAAATTTCTGAAACCGAGTTCTTTTAACTTAGGGGAAAATGACAATGGTAAAACACCTTGTATTGAACCAGTAGAGAAAGTGACTGTTGAAAAACGTTCCAATGCACCAATCCATGTGCCGGAGATGGTGTACGATATTGATGAGGAAACAAGGATGGGATTGGATCAGTCTTCTGGGGATGCATCAGCGGTCGAGTCGACCTTCAACTACCCTCTTCCCCCAAAGCAGTTGTTCACTGGTGAAGATACAAAAGATTCGGAAGCATCTGACACAGAAACCAAGATGTCCATAATTTCAGACACCGAGGATATTCGCCTCAGAAACACTATTAGCATTGATGATGCCACCAAAGATTCTGTTGCATCAGATTCCAACACTGAGACCCCAGTGCCATCAAAGTCATCTCGAAGGTCTAGTAAAGAAGGAAGTGGTGCAGATGTCATTGAAGATACAGAGTAAGTTTCTTTTTAACTTTTATTATTCTAGTGTTCTCTTCCAAAGAATTCCTGGTCGTCAAACGTCATATTACCCACTACTTTTTTTTTCGTTTTTTAAATTTTGACATGTTGTTTTACTCAGTATCAGTCTGGCAATCAGTTGTGATTTTTCTTGCCTTTTTTTTTGTTATAGTTTTTCGATAATGTCATAAAACTGTGATAGTTCATAATACCTTAGTATCCACATATATATTTTGATCCCTTTAGATAACATTTTCAAATAAAAGTGAAGTGAATTCACTTAATTAGTTTTCTTGTCGTTCCTGGGGGGTTCTTGTGTCAGGCATTTTTAAAACAATCAGGGGTATCCTTGTAATTAAAGTTTCTTGTGTTTTGTGAAAAGTTCTGACCTTGTTCTGTTTCTTCTCCCTCCCTGAAGTCACTCAGTGTCTGCTGAGGGCCTGTTTGAGTACCAGTGGCCGCAGGATGGAGGGGACTGGCATTTGCTGCAAGAGCAAATCAGTGAATACCTCAAAGTCAAGTCTTTCAAAAGGAAGTATCCGGGTAAAGTCTTATACAAATAATATTTATATCAACAATAATATTGAAAACTTTTGTATAGTGGCGGTTTGATGCTTTGCCGTCAAATGCAGAAGATCCATGTTTGATTCCTGTGTGGGAAGAAGTTTTAACAAGTGACAGTCTCTCGGGCCTTAAGAATTATCTTAAAGCAATCTTTGGAGTGGAACACACACACACACACATACGCACACACTCTTGTCAAGTAAGTTGACTGTGAAAAAAACGTTAGACACTAGACAGCGTGTACCTCACAACACTGCTGTGACATTAGGAATTACCATTATAACTAAAACTTGTGAGGTTGATGCAAAACAACTGAGGGATCCAGATGCAATGTCATCCATGACGGACAGTTCACAAGAAGCTTCAAGGTGCCGGCTGGAGTGAACACAGGGATATTTATAATTTACTGTCATCATTCCTTTTTCTACTCACCATAGGCTGAATAATGAAATCAATTGAAGAGTGAAGATGTTATAGGGAATCCAGTGGATGCTGTTGTCTCCGTGGGAGGACATAGACATTACAGATGACCTATCATTGCTGTCCCACTGTCACCAGCAAATGAAGGGAAAGACACAGGACCTGGTAAGGATCTCACAGAGCACAGGCATGAGGGTGAACCCAGGAAAGACTAACAAGAGTTCTGAAGATCAACACTAGTGTAAAAGAAGACATGAAGATTAATGAGGTGGCCATGGATGAAGTAACCTCTTAAACATTCAAGAAAGTCATAGATGGCATGGGAGGAACTGTCTCTGATGTCAAGACTAGGGTTGGAAAAGCAAAGGAAGCACTCCTGACAGTCACTGTCTGTCTGACGATCTGGAAGCATCAGCACAAGTACAATGATCTGACTTTTCTACATAAATGTAAAGAATGTAATGTTTTATAGCTTCGAAATTGGACGCTAACAAAGTAGATGGTAAATGAATTATAGTCCTTCATCAATGGTTGTTTTAGGATAATCGCAAAAATTCACGGACCGGACACCATCAGAAATGTAGTATTATGGTGCTGAATACGTTGGAAAAAACCCAACCAATTGAATGTGTGATCAAAAAAGAAGATTACACCTGCTTAAGAAACCAGCCCACAATGTGACAAGAAAAAATCTCAGATGGAACCTTTATGGCAGGAGAAAGAGAGAAAGGGCGAGATCCACCTGGGAGCAAGATCTAATCTAGAGACAGATCTCGGGCATTAGGGACACAGCTGGAGAAGATCGCCCACAACAGAGACAGGTGGAGAGCTCTTCTTGGCGGCTTATATATCTAATACCAGGGAGAAAGTGACAAATTAAATGATGATCTCCGTCTTTCTTTTGTGGCGTCATAAACGGCCAGCGTTGCCAACAGCATGCAGGAACTCAACAGTCGCTTGGGGGTCCTTGAAAAGTGCTGAAAGTGGATTACTGAAATGTCCCAGGAGACGAGTCAGTTTGGCCCTGACGAACAGAGTGGAAGCCCATCTCCTGAATGATCTAAATTGTGTTGATGGCGGCTGTTTAAAACATGTTTTCTTGAAAGCATAATTTGAAGATAGTATCAGGTGAGAACTTCAGGTATGATAGCTATTTTTAAAAAACCCAAACTGTTCAAGCAGTAAGAAGGCAGAAAACTTATTAATTATTAAGTACCTTATGGTATGGATGATTTTCCTCCTTATGGCATTGTAGGATAAAGAAGTTTGTCTGAGAACACTAATTGAAACACATTTTGACACTCCATCGTTTTGATTTTTGTATAGTAAAATGTCTGCATGATCATTACATGTCATGATGATAATTCTCGAATAAAAGAAACATTTTGTGCCTGGGTGTTGCCTTTTTCAGACTTGTACAGACGAACTTGTGACAAAGAAGAGAAGGATTTCCTGAGGGAGAAGGGAGTTGTGACGGAGACTCAGTCCGACTTAGGTGAGCTCAGGAATGTCTTGTGCTACATTTCATGCATGATTTAACGACCATCAAATGCCTGTTTTATGGGGGGGTTTTGGGGGGGTTTTTTCCTTTTCGTCTGTTTGTTATTTAACAGGTAATGGGAGGATGCTGTGATATGGTGTTGTATTTCCAGTGTTAGTCTTGTTCTAGTTTGTTCCCCTCTCAACATAGTTTTTTTTAATACCGTCATCGTATTGACTTTAGTGAAGAACTTTTTTGTTTTACATATTTTGTGACTTATCTGTGTCTTTTGTCTACTTTTTATGTTGCCTGTATTTGTTCGATTTTGTCCATTTTCAGGTTGAGGTGGTAATGTCATTTTGAATCCTCTTGGTATTTTGTCTTGGTGTCGTTTGGATGTATGCCTTTTTTGTACAAGTAGTTGGTGATCGTTATGGTGTGGTTGGCGTTTTTACCTCCTTTCAACCCATCTTTTTATCCTATTCTGCTCCTTGCGAAATATGGTTGTATCGTACAGACTCCCACTGTTTACTCAAGTTGACCAGTCGCTCACAAATTTTCAACTACAGATGAGTGAGGCATTTGAACCAGCATAATCCATTAGCCCCCCAACACACACAAATTATAGGTGAGATTATTGGCCCTTCCATATGCCCAGTCATAAACAATGAACGTCAGCATGAACTTGGAACAGAAGTGTCACTGGTTCGTAGAGTGGTGGTGACCCATTTGCTTGTTTTATTACAAGGCTCTGTCTTCCACATCGTGACACATTTAGTTTGTTTTAGCCTTGGACACTTTCATCCTCATCTGATACACTTTGTAAAATTTAACTGCACTCACGGCAGCCACAAGATTTTATGTCCCTTTCTGTCTCTGTCTCTCTCTCTCTCTCTCTCGCCTTTTTTAACTCCCAGTGGAGCACAGGCCATCAACTGCATTACTCCAGCGAAGCCTGTCCTGAGCATCCTTTTCTATCTGTTTCCATGATGTCCCCGCTTTTTCAATTTCCGCTTGTACCGCTCGCCTCCATGTCATCTTTGGTCTTCCCTTCTTATGTTTTCCTTGTGGGTTCCACGTTAAAGCCTGCCTGGTGATGCTTGTCGGGGGTCTCCTCAGGGTGTGTCCAATCCATTTCCATTTCTTCACCTGTATGTCTTCCTTTACTGGCCTTTGGCTTGTCCTTTCCCACAGTTGAGCATTAGTGACTCGATCGTACCGCTTGATCCCCACTTTCCTTCGTAGGCATCCATTTACGAAGCTCTGCAGTTTCCTTGCTACTGATGCTGTGAGCCTCCATGTCTCTGAACCATACATTATGTCCCTTTGCGCAAACAAAAATGTCTCTTACAGAAAAATCCAACCGCTGATGATGATGCCATCTACGCCGAAATGTAAATCATGTCCGTGTCTTGTCTTTAAAATGTGACAGATGAAACAAATTGTAGCTCAAACTGAATTGATGTCATCAGACATGGACAAATAGAATGAACTTTAGATGAAGATCTATATGTAACAGTTATATGTCATAACAATTTTGTACGTTGTACATTATTGGGCACTCTCATAAGCACCTTTTTCTACTAATCAGATGGCGTCAATATCATAGAAATGGGCAAGGGACAAAAAAACAACAAAAAAAAGAACTTTAGGTGAGAGGTATAAAATACAAACACCTTCACCGACATGAAATTTGACAAAGGAGAAGTGTTGAAGACCCTGGAGAAAAACTTGCAGGATGAAGAAGACAGGGAGACAGCAGAACACCATGCAATCATTAGGATGCGAGGAATGTGGATAGAGAGGGGAGAAGGAAGAAAGGAACGATTATCTGGAAAGAAAAGACGTCGCCATAATCAGACTGCCACCGGAACAATCAGTATGGATGCCTTGCGGGCTTTGGTGCTGGGGGAACTGAGCACTTATGGACCTGTCCGGTGTGCAATGACATTGTTGCCCAGGACAGGTAATACAGGTAATACCTTCACTGACATACAACACATGCTGCTGTCATGGCTATTGCTACTGAGATTAAATCAAAGTAATAAAATATGGCATTATATAGCTTTTAACCCCGATTAAAGTACACAGGCTCTGAGCACATAAAGACAAGAAGCGATGTCTACCCGCAAGAAGGAAACTCTTTCTCCACAAGAACAGATACAAAATATCAAACTGGGCACTGAAGGAAATTCAACGAGAGCCATTGCGAAACTATTTATTAATGTAGAGAAAATGTAAATTCTAAGCATTCGGAAAATGAAAGCAGAATTTGAAGCTTTGGCGCGTTTTACCAAATTAAGTAATGCGCATGCAACAGGCAATGAACCAAATCAATGATCTCCTCTACAAATTATGTTTCTGAAGGCAACAAGTGGAAGAATAGCAACTCAGGGCCAATGCTCAAAGAGAAAGCACTGAAATTTATAAGTGTAATTGTCATATTTAAGATAACAAAAGAAAAACAAATAAAAGAAACAAACTACACCCCTTTCCCAAACCTCACTCTCCACCCACCTCCTAAAAAAAGAAAACCAATTTTATAGGCCTTATGGCAGTCATAACCTGAGAACCTCCTCCTGAATATTTTAACGTTTCAACTAAGCAAACAATTAATTGCATGGTTTAGTATCTTCAGATATCTATTATTTAGAAGCTGACAAGATCATCAAATTTAGATGCTTAACATTCATAAATTGACATGAATACAATGATCAAAAATGTCTTTTTATTGTCGGTAATGAAAAAATTGTTGGTTTTGAGTAGGCGTAATAACAACAAACACCAAAACCGCTAATTTATTATGACAATCATGATTGTAAAAAGCCAATTTATTACTGATAGAAGTCATGACATATCATTTGCATTAATGATTATTTGGCAACTTTGTGGATTACTTTGCCCTTTTTCCTCTGGTATAGGCATGTCATTTATTCACATCTTTACTTATGGCCCATTTTTTATAGGGTACATGTACTCATTAAAAGCCTTACAATGAGTCTCCGTTTGATGAACTTACCTTCCAAGCTAAACATTTTTGCCGTTTATTTTTTTAATGGTGTAGCACAATAGCTGTTCCAAGAAGACGACTTATCCAATTCTTTAGTCGGAACTGATGTTTCCTTTTATTATATACCATTTTTCTACTTATAATAATTAGACGTTTTAATTCGGGGGGGGGAAAACCATGGTGGGTATAAAGTGCTAATGAGTTAGTGGGCAAATGACCTCAGGAGTTGTGTGATGACGACAAGATGCCTGCAGGGTGGTGCCATCTGTATTCTGTTTCAGCCTGCAGGAGCTTCATTATGTTCTCTGCAGGTAGTTAATTGCTCACTTTGTCTTTTGTTATTTGAGCAGAAAAAGTGGCAAGCAGGGTGGGGGGGGGGGGGAGTGAGAGAGAGTGAGAGAGAGAGAGGGGGGGAGAAAGGGATAGGAAGAGGGGGGTAGGATTGGAGGGACAGGGAGAGAGAGAACAGCTGTATGTCTTTGAACAGGTTGGCCTGATCTGCTTCTTTTACTTCTTTTCATTTTTATGGATATTTTTTTATCTGTTCCTGGAGTTGTGTAGCTATTGTCGATTTGAGGCTCTCGATAGACTATCACTCAACAACATAGTGTGATTGAACTTTTTTAAAAAACTTTTTAATTGTGGCAAAACTCTACTGCAGTCTTATACCTCGGACAAATGCACTGATACGATGGACATTTTTGCCGGTAGGAATGTTATCGTGTGCGTATAGAATTCTGTTTGCTGAAGAGATTTTGAAGGAGGCTAAAGTAGCACACAGCTGAAATTGAATTGTTGATGAGATCAAATACTTTTAACGCTTGAGTCAGCATGCCAGTTACAGGATGTTGTTGAGGTTTTGAAGTACAAGTAACTCACCAGTTGTTCCTGTCTTGTCTTTCATTTTTAATTTTTTCTGCACTAAATAGCCATTATTTTGTCAATGTGTTTTTCTGTATTCAAACCTGTCTTTTGTTTTAAAGTCTTGGCCCATAGGGCTCACAAACTTTCAGTTAGTGAAAAAGTCATTGATTTCTTGAAAGTATGGTTTCAGATTCACTCAATGAGAGTTTTTTTAAATTGTTTTTTTCCCCTGTAAAATGTGACCATTTTGGGAAGTGGTTCACCACGTATATAAGATGAGACATCTTTATTGTCCAGTTCCTGGCACTTTGGTTTGGTGTTTCGCCACGTACTCAGACACACCCACACACACCCACAGAAACACACACACACACACACTCACACACAAGTATGCCAGTCAAGTTAAGTACGATAAATCTATCTAAATCAGACAGTTTAGGTGGGTGGTTGGCGGGTGCTCTGGTGTGGTTTGCTTCTTCTTTCCTATCAAACATCTATCGTCCTTATCTCCCCTCCTTCTTTTTTATGTTTGTTACTCTCTTGCAACACCTCTAATCTTCTGGCGCTCATATGACCTTATGCAGTTGCGAGCGCCGAAAAACCTGTACTAAAACAAAGACAGTTTAGGTTTCAGAAAGTTGCCCTGAGCAAGTTTTGTTATCTTGGCAAGCTTTTCAGATCCCTTTTAATTTGTAAAGTTGTTTGGATTTGGCTTTTTGCAACGTGACAACTTTTATTCAATTCCATGTTACCTTAGATTATCAGAAAATACAATGGTGGAATTTTTTCATGTTTCATATTTGTTACACAAAACTTGCTGTCTTATATTTAACCTGCCCTGTATCTAGCAGGGTATAAGACTTCAACAAAGAGTAAAGCAAAGTCTTGTCATTGTACTATCTCTGTCGCAAGCACAGTGTCATTGCTAGGCGAAGTCTTTTCTACTGGAGAAAAAAAACCCTCTTACAAAATGAAATGAAAGAAATCAATAAGCAAGGAAGACTGTTTGCTGGTTTCCCGCTCCTGTTTGTAGGAAGAGGATGGCTGAGGTGTTCAGCTCTGGGCTCTGGCTGAGCTAATTGGCCCCCTGTTGTTGCCTCCTGGGGAGGGTTCTGGGCAAGCAGTCTGTCCTTGTTAATCAGCCCTTGGTTTGCACAGCAGTGCTGGGCCAGTCAGGTGGCTGATTCATTGGCATCCCATTTACCTGTCGTTAACCTACTGCTGGGTGCCACCTTTTTGACACTCCCCTGTCATTTGCTCATTTTGAGATATTTAAGGTTGTTGTTTTTTTTAATTGTGTTAATTTTTTTGGGGGGGAGGGGGGTGGGATTCATGTTACTTTACGGGTGGTTTGAGATTTGTGACTTAACGGATGATTGGAAGGTGCCATTGGTAGGTACTACTTCTTTACTTCCCCTCTGTTGTCTGTCTTCCTTTTTTCCAGCACTAAATAACCTTAATTGTATCAATGTGATTTTTTTTTTTTTTTTGCTCGAACAATCTTCTGACTTTCGTCACTCTTTTTATTCAAGTGTTTTGTATGTGCATACAGGTAGCTGATGGTCACTTAAGTGTTGTCAGCTTCTGTTTATCGTTTTTGTATGAGTTTATCTCCTTACTAGATGTTAAAACTTAATTATGAAGTCAAAACTGGGAGCTCTTGTGGTTCCTGAAGTATGGTTTGTGCCCCTCAGTCAAAAGATCCTTGGCTGGACATCTGCCAGCAATTTTTAGAAATTCACTTTGTAAAATTTTCTGCTCTGTCCTTTCTAGCTCTCTAGTCATGTTCTGCCATCTGCCTTCCTCTCCACTCTCTCACTCACTCCTCTTCATGACTTCAGACTGTAAGATGTGGGTGGTTGGCGGGTGCTCTGGTGTAGTTTGCTTCTTCTTTCCTATGAAACATCCATTGTCCTTATCTCTCCTCCTTTTTTATGTTTGTTACTCTCTTGTAACACCTCTAGTCTTTGGCCCTCATCGAGTGTAGTATTGCATACAGACGTTATCTCAAAGGCTGCCAAAAATGACTTACGTCTATAGGGAGTACTGACCGCGTCATTGTGTTGCAAGTGTCGTAATACTCTTACTTAAACTATAACTGCCTGTCCACTGTTACCTACAATTTAATCAGGAACACTGTGTGTGCATTTCCTATCTATCTACAAGTACAATAAGTTTGTCTCTTTCTTCATGAGTTCAGACTGTAAGATGAAAAAAGTGGGTGGTTGACGGGTGCTCTGGTGTGGTTAGCTTCTTCTTTCATATCAAACATCTATCGTCCTTATCTCCCCTTCTTCTTTTTTTTTATGTTTGTTACTCTCTTGTACCACACCTCTAGTCTTCTGGTGCTCATATGACCTTATTGAGTTGCAAGTGCCGTAAATCACTTACTAAAGCTAAAAAAGACTGTAGGATGAGAAAATATGTTGTATTGACCAGGCTGTTTGGTTTTATTCTTTCCAACAGGTTTGACTGCCCTTAGGAGTGAGGAAGTGTATGACCTGATGATGAAAGACTACAATGATAAATATAGGGTTTGTATATATAATATATATATATATATATATATATAAATCATATTTGCAATTGATTTTAGAAGACCATCTTTGGTTTCTTTTGTTGCTTGCTAATGTTAGTAACCATTTTAATAAGCCTATTGTAAGTGTGTTCCACCCTTTCTATGGGTTCACGTTTTAATTCCATTGGCTTTTTTAATATAATATGACATAAATCAATTCAAACGATTTTTAATCTTCTTTGTTGAGTTGCAAGGAGTGCACATGAAGAGTTGACACCTATGAAAAAATAATAGGACCAGTTCTTATGGATGTTGCTTATAATTTTTCATGATATATTGTTTCTTTATTTCATTTTTAAATGATTTTTTAAAAAAAAGCATTACTCACTTTTTGAGTTAGAGTAATGTATGGTCCCAGGTTAGTTTTTATGGTTATTCACTCTAATATGTCAATATATTTCCAGGAATATGTATCAGTTCTTCAAGAAAAACAGAAGAGAGTCATTCGTGAAAAGCACAAGGAATACTGTGTGGTATGTTAACTGCTTAATTACCCATTATTATGACTTAAGTTCATTGAAAAAATACTTTTTTTTAAAAATGTTTTTAATTTTTTTTATGCAGTTTACATTTTTGCACAACAGGGAAGGGGGAGACATGGCACATGGAATTGTTTAATTTTTTTAAAGCAATGTTTTGTTTTTGAAAATGGCATTCACCCACTTTCTATCAACTTTGTACATTTTGTGATTTTTCATCAGAGCAAACTAGTCTTTAGTGTTATAGTTAGGCTCTCCAACACTGCTCACATAAAACATGAGTTCGAATCCTAAGTAGTGAAGTTGTATTTATTCAATGTCTCTATCAGTCTGTACAGTCAGGATGCTGTATCTCATTCTATTTGAGTGTGGCTCTGACAGGAAGGATTGTTACAGATCTCCACCGGACTTTACTGATCTGAATTGTCTCACGTGAGGTGTAAATCATTTTCAAATGGAAAAAAAATCTTCAGAGCAATCTATGTCTCTGTAGATATGTACAGATATGTACCTCCAAAAACAAAGAAAGAAAGATGTAAAAGAAGTTTTTTACCATCTAGCATAGGGCTTTTGTCAGAATGAGCATAGATATGTGTTGCTCTTTAGAATATGTATCTATATGTAATATAACTCCAAAGGTCTTGTAATTAAATTCCTATGTGTGGTTGAATGACGCATCTGATGTGAATGTACATTTTGTCAGCTTTACTTCTCTTTTCATATTGAATTTTAATGAGAGTAAATTTTTATGTATACCTACATGTGTTTTTATGGTCCTGTACTGCCAAGAAAAATTTCCCTCTGGGATAATAAAGTATTATCTTATCTTATCTTCTGTCACAGCTCAGTGGCTGATAGGAGAGTGCCCCTTGTGGCTTCTACTTCTTTATTGTCTGTCTGCTCTTATTGTCTGTCTTTTGTTACGTATCTCTGGCATCAGATCAGTGTTATCGTGTCAAGGTACGCCTCTTTTCCCAAACTCAAAGCTCATGAATGAAAGTGTTTCCTGGAGTTGTTTTTCTTTCTCTTTTTTTCCTGCAGCAGCCCAAACTGGACAAATCAAAGATAATGGCATACTCCAAGAAGGCTGCGAAATCTGCAGCAGAGTACAACTCAAGTATGATGCGAGAAAAGAGAGATGAGAGAAGGGCTTATTTTGACCTGCAGACCTATGTAAGTCCTTTATTTGATGCTAAAAAGGCAACATTTTTCAAATGAGAAATTGTGCATAGACAAGGATATTGACTTTAATTTGTACCTTTAAAATCCTTTGAAGTGAAGAATTAATAAAATGTAAATGGAAGTTTTGTACTTTAGACTAACCGAAAATTTGTCAGGTAACATTCGGTACTGTCATCTATTACGTATTTTTATGTTAAAAGTCTGCCTCTTCTTTCACGTCTATTCAGTCTTTAACCTAGTAATTGACTTCAGTTTCTCTCATGTATTGCTGTGAGTAATCAGCAAACATACATGTCAGTAGAAACATGACCAGCTTGATGCTTTGAAGAGTTTGAACCCAACGAAAGTCTAACTTGTTCTCTGTGCTCTTAGAATTAAAAAATTAGATGTTCGTTTGTTTTTGTTTTTTATTCCATCTAGGTCATTCACTACCCACGGAATCACTGCAAGACATTACCCCCAGAACAAACCAAACGGGGAGCATATCCTGTGTCAGTCATAAAGGGTCAGTTCCAGGAGAATTATCGCAAGTAAGTCTGTGGCCATGAATGTCAACGTTGAGTCTGAGGCTACAGTGGGGTTTTTTTTTAGAATTGGTGAGATGGCTAAGGTGTGGCATCCTTTATTGGAAATAAGGGAGATCTCCAGATCATTTTGGCTCGGAATTGTTAAAACTTTTTTATTGTTTTGTGTTCAGTATGAATATGGAGTCCAGGTTTCAAATTCTTTAATATTCTGTTTGTTGTTTGTGCATTTAGGTATTGTTAATGCTGAGTGTACTTATTGATTGAGTACTTGGGATATTCGTATAAAATTTTTGTGCTCTGTACCTCTTTTTCTTCATTGTTCAGCCATCTCATGGGCTTGGTCAGCTCAGTTCAGATAAAAATAGCATGAAAAAGTAAAGGTACCAAGACTATTAGATGTGTGGTCACAAGGGTGTATCTGTGACCAAGACACTTTAGTGTTTGAAGCTTTCGACTCCCGAGAGATGTTTGCATTGTGAAGAGATGAATGTTATCCTTGATTTAGACCTAGATTAGGATAGTTTGTAGATATATTCTGGTTTTTTTATGATGGTGAAAAAAGTGACAGCGAACTGCAAAGTGAAAAAACTAGATCCTCACATCCACCTTTTGATAACAACCACGGGGCGTGCTTTTAATCTTGTTTACTGGTGTGTTATTTTTGTGTAGGATTATTTTCAGAGGTCAACCTAATAACATTTAACTATATCAAAGCAGCCCAGTATGGCAGTGGAGTTGACCGCTGCTCCATTCATCATTGAATGAGCCAAGAAAAATTCCCTTATTAAAAGAGAATACTGTGATCTTTTTTTTTTCATTTTGTCGCTACTTGTGTGCAAAAATTATCTGTGGCCATTGACATGTTTTCATCGTTCATGGCTGTTTATGTCAGATAATAGGTCAATGAAACCCTCCTGTTCAGAACTGCATCTTCCTAAGCAAGAAGACAGGAAGTGTTGGGTCAACATGTCTAATGGTGATTTGTTTCTGTTGTCGAAGGTACAATGCTCAGGAGCTGAGCTGCTTTCCTGTGAAGACTTGTCTGAAGGACCCACCCAAATTGGTGCGATATGTCCGCCCTCCTCCCCTAGGAATCCGGATGGGAGCTAGTTCTGTAGCACAGGTGCGTGTGGATATTTGAAAAACAGGCTATTTTGACAGCACTGAATCTGATTGACTTTGTTGTGACTGTAAAATTCATTTCTCCACATTATCTGTTTATTTTTTGTCTCTCTCCTCTCTTCTTTTTTTTTTGGTAAGTGTTTTGCGTTTCTCGCAACTGCATAAGGTCATTTGAGCGCACTCTCCCTCCTCTACGACCAACTAAGTAAGTGAAGAGCTATGAAAACTGAAACACTAACCCCCACCCCCCAGCCCCCAAATGGAAAGTTCATAATTTTCTTTTCAGACTGGAACTCATTAACTCTGCTCTTTGTATATTGATGAATTGTGTGTTAAACTGGCCTTCTGTGTATCAACGTGTTTGAGGTATACGTGCTCGACTACAGAAGTTTTTTTTACTGCTGTCTATGATGATCTTCAAGTAACAACTATTTTATTGTTTTGGTTATATTTTTTAGGGAGGGGGAGGTTGTCTGTTTTGTTAGGGTTTTTTTTCTGTGTGTGTGTAATGACCTGAAATGATGTAAATTTTTTATGGTGTGTGTGATGATCTTGAAATGGTATGTCCTCCTTCTTTTCTTTCCTTCTTGTTTCTGTCTTACTTTCCCCTGTACTCAATGGCCATAATCCTGTGAATGTGCATCTCTTTAGTCAGAGAAGTCAGCTGTGTTGCCATTCAGCTTCTATCTTGTTTCTTTTTGCTTTTCTGTTATGTCAGAAGCCAGAGCCAGTCCCCGAGGCGGAAAGTGAGGCCCCTGTCAGCGCCGAGGTACAGGAAGACGTCCTGGATGGCACAAACAAGAACAAAGAAAATGAAGTAGCAACGGCCTCGGTGGAGATGGAAGAGCCCGTCACAGTCACGCCTGTCAAAGTTGAGCGGAAGGTCAAGTCATCGTGTAAGAAAAAGCTCGCTGGCGTCGCCAAGGGGCACACATCGTCCCCAGAGAGGCCCAAGAAGTCCAAGAAGAGCAGCAAGGAGACCCCAGCCCCGGCAGAGAAGAGTGTGAGTATCACAGCCCCCAGCACTCCTCAAGAGGTCCTTGAGGATTCTAATGAAAGTCCAGACTCAAAGAAAATGCCTGCAAAGGTGAGATTTTCATGGCTGTACACCAACTCTGTGATGAGGTTGTAGGCTGTGTGTCTCTTCTCTAATTGATTCCTTTCTTTTTGATTTTAAAGAAGAAAGCAGGTGCGATAGCCTGGAACGGTTTAATAAAATTGACCGTTCTTTGTCTGTGTTTTAAAAAGAAGTTTTTGATATGTATGTTATTAATTTTCTTGATTGATTCTGTATTTCTGTTCCTTACTGAAAAGCTTTCAGCAACTACTTGGCTTGGGGTCAGCTGATGCGGAGACAAGTTCACCAGTGGCATTATGGAGTTTACCTTTTGGCCAACATTTGGAGCAATGTAACCTCCTGCCCCTCTCATGCATCAAACCACTAGATATATGGACTAAGAGGTCAAAGTTTCAAGATTTGTAATGCTTTGGAGTAGTCATTTTGTGATTTTTAGTTTTCTTTTGAGGCAAGTGTTTGTAGAGTAGTGTCATAAATTTTAATAAATCTCTACTGTAGATCTTTTCAGTCTTCACAGAACTGATTATCAGCTGCTTGGGAATGGACAGATAGAGAAAAAGAGAAAGAGAGAGAAAGGATTTGCATTTGTCCATAAGCTAAATAAATTCTGCATCGTATTATAGCTGACTTCAAGAGTTTCTTTCATAATAAGAGAAGCTTGAGTTTTGGCTCTGTCATTATTGTGTGAAACAATTGCCTGGCTATAGCTTAGAGTTGATGATGAAAAAGCACAAAAAGGTCAAATGGCTCAGCCATTGCAACTTCAGCCACCTGACTTCATAATCCAGACACTTTATGGCACTCAATAGTGAATGACTTATCATCAACTTATTTCCCACTGCTTCTACGCCAAAAAAAATGCCTTAACCCTGCCCGTACGCCCTGGGGTCATTTTGTACCCCCTGGGTTGTATTCTTCACATTTTAGAATACTTCTAGTACGAAGATCTCTTTGAAACTTTCAGTATTTCTCAAAAAATCATTATGACCGACTGCTATGCAAAGCATACGGATCGGATTAGTGAGTAAATTTCCTCTTTGGAAAGTGGTGGCACAGAGTTCCCCACGTCGTATGGATACGATAGTAAAACTCAACGTACGGATAGGGTTAATAGAGACAAAAATTAAAATTATGTTTTCATGAATTCGTATTTTGTGCTGTTTGCTTTCATTCAGCTCCCACTTTTTACTGAAATCTCTGTAGAATGTGTTTTAAAATCTTTGCCGTTCCTTTTTGGTCTGACAGATACATGGCTTGGAGAAGTGCAGGATCTGCAAGCAGCGATCGACCAAAGAAGAGCGGAAAAACGATCGTTTGGTGAAATGCGCTCAGTGTGGAAAAATTGGTGGGTGAAGTTTTCATGTGTGTTGAAGTGAACCGTTGTTGTTGTTGTTACCTTTGTTACAAAAGAACACTATCTGTAAGTGGAGGTTGGGGAGAGGGGGTCTTTTCCAAGAAGAAGACAATGCTCTGTCCCTGAGGTAGAGGTCACAGATTAGTTGAATTGTAAGAGTGGGCTCTCAGTGTGATGTAGTGGTGCAACTTCTTCTTGTTTGAAATGAGTTTGTTCTTGTGGTGAGAGTCAAAAACGTTGTTTGGAAAGTCTATTATAAAAATGTCTCTGTCAATAGAATTATGAAGTTCGAATGGTGTTTGCTTTTACCTTTCGTTTTTACAGTTTATTTCTCTTTAGGTGATACTTACAAGACTTAAAAAAACAAAACAAATGAAAGTAATCGTGAAAGCTATTTGATCAGTTTACTTTGCTTTTCCCAAAGTAGTCAGGTGCTAGTGAAAAGGTATTATTGTGTCCAAAAAGAATTTTATCAGATTTTACTTTACTCCGTGACTATGTGGACTATTTGACAGATGGGGCTTTTGAGTAAATGCCGATTGATCTCTCCATTGATGTCAAGGGAATTCTATACTCTGAATGCTGAGAAAAGTCCATTATGTTTGAACAAGTGCTAGCTATTTAAACAGTACAAATGTCTCTTATTTATGGAGCCACCCCCTGCTGTCCCTGCTGTAAATGTGTTATATATCCATAAGAGTCACAGTCGGTGGTTGGCGGTTGTTCTGGTGTGGTTTACTCATTCTTTCTTTCTTTTCAAACATCTTTCATTTTTATATCTGTCCTCCTCCTTTTTTGTTTGTTACTGTCTTGTAACACCTCTAACCTTCAGCACTTATATGACCTAACTGTGTTGCAAGTGCTGCAGAACACTTACTAAAACAATAAAACAGAACTTAAAAGAAAATGATCATATTGATATACATGTCAGGACTTAATAATATATATACAGGGACGGGTATTATGTTTGCTCATAAAAAAATGTCGTTACCCCTCGTCTTAAAAGATAATCTTGGGTTGTATGTTTTCATGGTTTAGTGTCCATAAAGGGTAGCCTGCTTAGTTGCTTCTCTTCAGCCCTTAATGATTATTTTAGCAAATTTTTCAATGTTCTCATTTTTTCTCACTTCAGAATTGTGCTTTGTTTTCCCTGTTTTCTGTTTTTTCACAAATGGCTCTGTTTAGTGTGGTCTGGTCCTAGGCTTTCTTTTATATATTACAATTTTACAGTTATGTTGTTTGCAAAATATGGGTGCTTTTGTGGCGACTGAGTGTGAACTTGAAATCACCATGTCTTGTCTCCTTCTTATCGTTACTTAAGGCCACATGAGCTGTCTGGACCTCACAGAAGAGTTGGTCGCTGTAATCAAAACGTATCCCTGGCAATGCATGGAGTGTAAGACTTGTGTGGAATGCCTGGATCCTTATGACGAGGTCAGTACTCGATGGAGATTGTTGATGTTTTATGACAACATTGACATTCTTTCTTCTTCTTCCTCGTTCTCGAAACCACATTGACATAATTTAGGTCATTTTGGAGAAGGGGGGGGGGGGGTGCTCTTAGGGTCAACATCATGCAAATGGTTAACACATCACATCCTAACTCGCCTGGGATCGCCCAGGAATTTCCCTACATGCTCCACTGTGACTCGCCCAGAATCGCCTGCTCCGACCAGGCATCTTTAGAAACAAAGTCTCACCTTGACGAGACTGGGGCTGAGATTTCGTTTTACATAGTTATTGCAAAATGTTTTTTCTTCTTTTTGATACCAAAACAAAATTTTTCAGGCCAGTAGTTTTAGTATTAGAGCTGATCGAAGTGTGATTGCATTTCCGACTCTTCGAAGGTGTCTCACAATTGAGCTTGAAAAAGCAAAGAACGATGGATTTGGGCAAGAACAAGCAAGTGATGAATCAGATATTGATGAAAACATTGTAGCAGGAGTTTGGGGCGATTCAGATTAATCAGATATAGAATTTAGATCTAGGGCCCGTCCGCGAGACTGAGAGTGATGGGTCGAACACCCGGATTGAACTAAAGTTAGAACATTTCCAAGATTCTGTGCATATATAGTTATATTTTTCAGAAACTACGCTCATTTGTCTTTCTAATTTTTACTTTTTCAGAATTTTTAAAATTTGTTAAGTATTTTTTAAATTTGTTAAGTATTTTTTAAATGTGTTTTTTAAACTTAAATGTTTATATTCAGGTTAGGTGGGTTACTTCCCCTTGCTTAGTATTTGGGAATAGATCTCCTGCCCAGACCTTTCGGGTGTAATGTGTTAATTTTCGCTGTAGTCTGTTTTACTTCTACTTTTTTTTTATTGTACAGGTTTTATATGATTGTCTTGACTGAATGTGGTGGAAATGCTGTTGTTGTTGTTGGGTTAACTTGCAGTGAACTACTATTCACCAATGATACCTCTCTTAAAAAAGCAATAAATAACCCTTTGAAATTGAATTAGACAAACACATTGACATTTTCCGTAGATTTGAGCTTGTGCCTTAGATTCATTATAATAAGCTGAAAGAACAAGTGGTTCCGACATGACAAGATGTTTGCTAAAAGGGTGTGTTTTGAGGATCTCAAAATGACCCCTATCCTTAGAATTCAACATCCATGAGCACTAAGATGTAAGAGTAAGACTAAATGTACAAGTAGGCTACAATCCTAAATTGACACCTCTTTTGCAATGTTCATATTCCGCTAAAGTTTTTAGTACAGAAATTTTTTTTTAAAATTTTCAATCATATAGCCTCATTTAGTGCCTGTTATATTTGACAGATTTTTATTAGTTACTGAAAAGTAATGACAACTTTTTTTTTTTTGTCCCCAGGATAAGATGATGTTTTGTGATCGCTGCGACAGGGGCTATCATACCTTTTGCATTGGGCTCAACGCTCTTCCCACAGGACAGTGGGAGTGCAAGAACTGCGAGGGGGCGCCCAAGATCTTAAACAAGTCCTCGTAAGTCTCTCTTCTCATGGCAAACTCTTATGTGATGTTTGCTACTGCTCTCAACGTTTTCTCTCCTAAATTACTACTAACTAGTGTTGCTGGGTAGGTTCATTTTTGCCAGTAGCCTCTCTATGAAGGTTTTCTTGTTCAGTTAACAGTTCAGTCCAGGAAAATTTCAGCTCCATGAGATTTTCCAATCTCTTTAGAATTTTGTAGTTTCTCTGTCAAGCTACTAGAGGTCTTCAGCCTCAACATTTTAAAATTTTTCTGTTGAGCTGCTTTAGAGTGAGTTACAGGCTTTCAAATCTGATTCTTTTTTTTCCCTGATTTCTTGAACTTTTTTGGGTTCCTGAGATTGAATAGACCTGCATGTTTGCTGACAATCGTCTGAAATCCGACAGTCCCGACCCGACCCGTAACCCGGCCGATGCTATCGCTAGGCCCACCTGATAGTCGAAACAAACTTTGTGCTGTTGAAGCTAGAGGGGTGAGCAGAGTAAGTCTGATTCCCTCTAAGGACTTCTCTGTTGACATCCACCCCTTGGCGCTCATATGACCTTATGCAGTTGCGAGCGCTGTAAAACCTCTACTAAAACAAACAACACTCTTCAGTATTATCTACTTCTGAAAACTGCACGGCTAGTTGTAAAAGTAGAGTAGTGACACATGCAAGCAAGACTACCACACTGCATATTCGGTAAAGAGGGCAGTGAGACATGACCCTAGTCCAAGGAATACAAAAATAACAGCAGGACTACAAATGGACAGCATCTTAGCAGCATACATGTTCAATCTTTCAATGTTAAAAAACCCTAAAATCTTCCTAGGTTAAATTTTCTCTTCAGGCAACACAACATTACATAGGCCTGAGTCTGAGCAGTTTAGGATGGGGCGCAAACTAGCCTACCCACTGTAGTTCTTTTAACAATTTCCGTATGCCCTGGGGTCTTCACATTTTAGAATACTTCTAGTACGAAGATCTCTTTGAAACCTTCAGCATTTCTCAAATAATCATTTTGACAGACTGCTATGCAAAGCGTACGGATCGGATTAACGAGTAAATTTCCTTTTTGGAAAGTGTGGCACAGAGTTCCCCACGTAGTATGGATACGATAGTAAAGTAAAGCATGACGTACGGATAGGGTTAACAATTTTAGAAAGCATCAAAAGAACATGATGGTAGATTTTCAGTCCTTGTTGTTTGCTTACTATAATACCTGAAAAAATGAACTATTTATGATCTATTTCCCTTTGTACTTTACAGGTCTCACAAAGCCAGGAAAAAACCCCGTGCTGAAGCCAGAGAGATCAAGCCCGATGTCGTGGGAGAGAAAAATCCTGAAACCAAAGCAGAGGAAGGCACAACTGTCGTCTCAGAGACTGCTGAAATTAAGCCAGAGGATGTAGAAATGGTGGATGAATCACAGTTAGATGTGAAGGAAGTGAAGACAGAAGACACAGCAACTCCCTCTGTGTCAACAGCCAGAGAAGATGTGAAGCAGGCAGAGCGCTCTGGCAAAAAGAGGAAGAACCCTGGTGCTGCCGCACAGCCCAAGCCTGCAAAAACACCCAGGATACAAGGAGAAAGGCAGAGCCGTCGTCTGAAACTAAAGGGAGAAGAAGGGGAGGATGGAGAAAAGAAGGGCAAAGACAAAAGGTTTAAGAAAAAGAAACGGTTGAATAAAGAGCCGGGTGAGGTAAGCACTGATGGGAAAGAAGGAGGGGAAGTAACTCTGGCAGGGGGAGCGCTGGAGGGGGCTGAGGATGAAGGGAGAGAGATTATTAGCGAAGGTGTGGATGAAAGCGCTGATTTCATGGTGAAAGATGAACTGGAAATTAACGATGATGAGGTTCCAGAGAAAGGTGAAAGTAAAGGAGAAACTCCTTCATCAGCTGTCCCGACAGGCTCAACTACAGACAAGGCAGATTTGGAAGCTGGTGGAGAAGGCTCTGTGCAAGTTGGCTCTGGAGTGGAAGTTGCTGAGACAGAGGTGGCAGCGGCGACCATAGCAGAGAGTGACAAAGAACCAGTTCAGGACAAGGCGCCCAGCGTGAGCAATGAGCAAACGTCAGAAGATGTTGCAACTCCTCATGACACTTCTTCAGAAATTGAGACTGTGGATCTATTGCCAGACGAACCTGAGCATGACCCTGGAGTCGGAGTCGAGGATGAGCCCAAAGAAGTTGGGAAAGAGGAATCACAGAAGGAAACTGAGCCAAAATTGCCATCGCCGCCCCCTCCCCCTCCAGCATCGTCATCATCTCCCACAGGTCACGCAGAAACCTCACTTGATTCCTCAGACGAACAGCCTCAGAAAGAAACTCAACAAATCTCAGAATCATCAGACACATCCACCACGTGCTCATCATCACAACCGCCCCTAGTCCCACCGGCGCCAGCTCCTGAAGAGAAAAGTTTGGCTCCTTTGGTCCAAGAAGAATCTCCACCAGTTTGTAAGAACAGTAGCCACCAGCAACAATCCTCATCAGAGGCGACTATGGATACAGCCTCAGCTGAACAATCCAGCGAAGACAGTCAGAAGAAGGTCAATATAGTGGAGGAAATGCCAGCTCAAAGCTCAGCCCCAGCTCAGTCAGACACACAACAGGATGATGGTGCTCCTCCAACTTCTGAGCCTACAGCAGAGGCCACGTCGGTGAACAGTGAAGAAACAACTGACAATGACAGTGGTGTAAAGGAAAGTCCTATGGAGGTAGAGGAGAATGGAGACAAACAACAGGGAGCTCCTACAGACAATGCTGGAAATGTGGATCCAGGTGGAGAACCAAAAGTGACAACAGACCAGTAGATGTGGTCCCATTGTTTTTTCATTGTCTCCTGATGCCCCATTTTGGTGTCAGTGTTCATGATCAGTGTTGTATCATAATCATACTGTCAAGTAATAAAGCTGGTAAATATAGAGATCACTGACCGAGTACATCAATTAATTAATTATGATTGAGTGTCTGGTATTTTGTTGTCCTCTTTTACTAATCTTTTGATATGATTTTTTTTTTTTAGAACAGTTTTTTTGAAAGCATGTTTTCATTGCAGAGATATACAGTGGCACTTGGATTCAACAAAGAATTGGATTTAACGAAAGGAGAATTCCCCTTAATTCATTAAAATCAATAAAAATAACTCAGTTTCAACAAACATAATATTGTTATAAATGAGCAAGCTTGGATTAAACAAAGTCGCTGCTTGCAGGATGAACAGCTGAGGCTCGAACCCTTTAACTCACTTCATTTTAGTTTTAGTTGAGGTTTTATGGCGCTCGCAACTGCATAAGGTCATATGAGTGAGCGCCAGAAGATATGAGGTGTTACTAGAGAGTAACAAACATAAAAAAAGAAGAAGGGGAGATAAGGACGATAGATGTTTAATAGGATTAAGAAGAAGCAAACCGCACCAGAGCACCCGCCAACACCCACTAAATCAAAGTTACTCTAACCCGCAATCTGACGATTACTATGATGGTCCTGTAACTACCTGACCACGAGGCCACCGACGCCATATTATAATTATGACGAATTAATGATGACAGCAAACTGTTCCTGATCTCGCTCTCTCCTAGCCTAGCTTACCAATACAATAAATGTACCAGGATGTGTGTGTGTGTGCGTGTGTGTGTGTGTAATGTATCGTCAATGACGACAGCAATTTATCAGCAAACAGTTCTCGCTCTCTTCTAGCGTACCAGGGTGTGTGTGTTTGTGTTTGTTTATGCATGTGTGTGTTTGTGTGATGTGTGTGTGCGAGTTTGTGTGTGTGAGTGTGATTGAGTGTGTGCGGGCGCGCGTGCGTGTAATGTACTGTCAATGGTGACAGCAAACAGTTCTTGATCTCGCTCCCTCCACTCCTGCCATATATCGGGATACCGAGTACACATAGCCTGTGGTCCAGACGACAATGTTTCCCCCAGAACGACCGTACCAGAGCTGTGTGGGTCTCAGAGGCCAGTCACAGGTTCCGGTCAGTCCCACTGGGGGTGGGTCCCGGGCCGTCCACCCTCTGTCCGCTGCAAAGCACACTGGACTATTGTGTGATGGCGCGGCCGCTGGACAAACAGAGGGGAGGACACGCCCACGGACCCTGGCTGGTTCAATCAAAACCGCCGTCCTAACGTCACCTTGACAACGGACGCTAGAGACGAACGGTCGATCGGAACCGAGCCGGCGAGTTTGTTGATGTGATGGGGGGGACTCCCCACCACCGAGTGTGGGATCACAACAGCATCGTGTTGATTTCTTCTTCGTCTGCTCGTCTGTCAGCATCCCTGGAGCTGTACGGACGTTTTCCTCCTGCCGACGAGAGAGGAAACTGGACGAGGGGTGGGCCCGACACACTGGAAAGTGCCCCGGACCCGCCTTCCTTAGCTCCACACTTCATCACTTGAAGAGTAAGGTTTCATCGAAGTAAGCGGCTGTGTGAGCCCAAACCTCACGAGAGTCTCTCGACTCGTGTGTGACTTGTGGTGTGAACTGAAGTCTCAGTCGCCTCCCGCCTCCCTTTTATTCTGGCCCAGCGACTAGCGACCAGGGTTAACCAGTCACGTGATCCGTGGGAGGATCTGGAGTGGCCGAAGAGAGCAGATTGCGTTCAATATCCTATCAAAATAAGTAGCCTACATGTAATGCGCGCTGTTTGTAAAAAAATAATAAAACGCGCTGTTCGTTGTGTTGGGACAGGGAATAATGCTGGGTGAATAAGTTTTACAGCAAATCGATTATTATTGCGCTAAAAATACGCGCGGAGCGGTTAACCGAACGCAAGTCGTTTCGAAATTCGATGGCATACTAAAAATAGATATGGTTAGGTCTATTGAGCAAACTGTGGTGCAATCTTCTGCTAAATGAAATATACTGGCGTTCAAAAGAAAGATAGATCTGGCCTTCCCTTTTTTGATTGCTTTAAAAATCTACAGTTTTGAGTCTTTACACTTTACGTTTTTCCTTTCACGTGAGTCTAGTCTAAAAAGCAGGTCACGTTACACATATTCTACATGTGCATAAATAGTTTAAATAGTATAAAAATAAAATTTTGGTGTTTCAATTTGTGTTCACCCCACAAAATCCGAAAAATAGAAAGCTGGCATTTTTCCTGACCACGTGACGGATTTTTTCAAATCTATTTTTTATTAAATTTATTAATTTTATTTTTTTAGTCAATGTTAAGCCATTGTGTGTTTATCTGGGGTGACATAAAAAATGTAGGGGGAAAAGGAGAGATAAATTTTGATAAAGTGCAGGAGACCAAGTGAGAAGTTATAGAATGATGAAATATGAAACAACAGCTACCGGTATTGTCAAACCATTGGCAATCCAAAATCCTATCTATCACTTCTGACGTGATGTGTCCTTGTTGAACTTGTGCACAGAGTTGAAACAACAGCAACAAAACGATGAAAAGATAAAGTCGAGAGATTAGAAAAGAGGAGAGAAAGAGAGGGGAAAG